CGCGCACTGAGTTCGCGCGCCTGAATGGCGACGTGAGGCTGCTCACGCCCGAGGCTGTGGAGGGTTGGTCCGACCTGGTGCACTGCCCCTCACAGCGCCTGCTCGACCGCCTAGTGCGCCGCTACGCCGAGACCAAGGACTCGGGCAGCTTCCTGCTCCGCAATCTCAAGGACTCGGAGCGCATGCAGTTACTGCTGACCCTGGCCTTCAACCCCGAGCCGCTGGTGCTACAGGTAGGCGCGGAGTCCGGGCCGGACGGCGTGCGGGAGGGGTAGTGCGGGAAGCGGGAGTCAGGAGAGGTGGCCCCGCTTGCCCTCGCTACCCGGTTTGCACCCTACCCGCTTGGGCCAGGCCGCGGGCGTGGGAAGGGGACAACGCTGGGGAACCTTGGGCGCTGTGCGGGACTGCGGAGGGCGCCCGGGGCGGGTGCAGAGTCCGCCCTTGTTATCTAGACGCGGCGCTTCTCGGATTTGACTGCGGATCCTTCAACACCAGAGGGAGCGCTTCTGCTGTGCTCCCAAAATGTCTTTCCTAGTTTTCTTCGGTTCTCAGTGCCTTTTTTATTTTATCCGCCGGCCTGGACTTCCACGGCACAGTCCGTTCACGAGTCCTTGGACCTTTCTTAGTTCTTTTCAAGTTTTTTTCCTTACCGCATCTGCTCTCCCCTTTAGTACCCTGCAAGGCTGACCTACCTTCGGCTCCAAAGTCTGTCTTTGTTTTATTCCTTAGCTCATTTACTTAGCAAATCCTTGGAAAAGCTGATTTGAGGACAAGGTGGGGAAGATAGGGACTGAAGTGGGGACTGTGTTCAGGGGTGGGGCTAATCATGAGTCTTGCTCTGGGTGGGATTAAGGAGAGGAAAATATTAAGGCTTCCTAGGATTTGGGGGCTGGGAGGGTTATTATGGCCAGGATGTTTTCATCCTGCTCCTGTGACCTTCCCTATTCTTCTGGTATTTTGCTGCAGGAAAGAAGTGAAATGTTAGGCCAGGGCAAGTAAAAGGGGAAAAAGAGATTCTCATCTCTCTAATGGAGTTATTGGCTCTCTCTTGACCTTTTTAAAACAAATGTACCTTTTAGGGGAGTAGGTTGAGTTCTTTGTAACGTGACAGCAAAAAGAAAACAAAACTTAAAAAGAAAAGAAAAAACAAGGTTGTGTTTACCTTTGGAGCAGTTACTGAGTTTCTACACATTCCCATCCAGCAGTCGAGCTGTGTCCTTGGATAGTGGTTACAACTGTGGGAGTATGATCCCTCCTGATAACCCTAGGAAAAGTTAGTTGCTCATTTTCCACACCAGTTTTGCTGTAGTATTTGAAATACAAGGCGAAAAAAACATGATTTAAAAGTAATCACAAATAATTGTGATATAATTTATGTCCTTTCTGTGCTGTTAGGAATGTCACTGATGGCTGGGGGTTTTCTATGGGTTGCATAAATTAGGAATGTATCATATTCATTTATGTTGCTTTCTTTTCTCAAGTTCCATTGCCCAGCTTAGCTAAGAGAAACTAGTTTCCTTTTATTGGTTCAGCCAAATAATTGTAACACAAAATAAATATTTTGCCTCAAACAAAACTTTAGTGTGTGTCTTGGTAAATTTTAAGTTGTGATAGGATATAGTATGTAACGAGTCAAATTCAAAGTATGGATTGTATATTGAATATTGCTCTCTTTAACAGTGAAATGGTTGAACGTCCATTGAAGAGGTCGTTTTAAAACTAGTCAGCCATTAAAGTTTAAGTCTGTATTTGTTATATATACATTTGATTTGACACGTTTTAAAAATTTGAACTGCCTTTTCTCTTTGAGAAATAGATGATTATGTTAGCAAGGTGATCCCTGGACAAAGATTTAGCATTTGTAGTTTGCTGAGTATATTAGTCTCTTAATTCTCTGGGATTCCAAAATTTAGTAAGGAGCTACAGTAGTAGAATACACATTTTCTGCACTTACAATAATGGCTGCCTATTAAAAGACTAAAGGCCCTGTGCCCAAAATTCATGCACTGGGTGGGCGGTGGGGAGGGGGTCCCTCGGAATGCGCCCTCTCGCAGTTCCGGAGCCCTGCAATCCATCCCCCCGCAGAGCCTGCTGCTGCAGGGTAGCCTGGGCCTCCTTCTTTGGGGCAATCGTGGAGCCCCCTGATTGACCCCCCCCACTGGCTGGTGACCTGGGCCTTCCTCTGCGGGTTGATCATGGGGCAATGGCGGGGGCCCCAACCAATTGCATCGCACCTGCCTTGGATGGCCTGGCGCCAGTGAGTGTCATAGCGTGATCGTTCCACTGTTCGGCAGTTCGGTTGATTTGCATATTATGCTTTTATTATAGAATTTTATCAGGTAATGCTATTGACATATTAGAAACAGCTAATGTTAAAACTAATATTTTAAAAACGTATTATGTATGCAGTTCTTTATAAGCATGACATTTAAATATGAGAAACTTCAGCATTTGATAAGCAAGTAGAAAAAGAAGGCTTATTTTTAGATAACCGATCTTCATAGAGCTTCTACTTTGTTTATAGAACCACTTCATCTTTGGTAAAAACTAGTGAGTTAAGAAGTGTGGACAATATTACTTGAGGTCTGATGATGACAACGGATGAATGGATTAGAAAACTGTGGTACATATACACAATGGAATACTATGCTGCTGTAAAAAAGAAGGAATTCTTACCATTTGCAACAGCATGGATGGAACTGGAGAGCATTATGCTAAGTGAAATAAGCCAGTCAGTGAAAGAAAAATACCACACACTCATTTATGGATAATAAAGACCATTAT